CATGTTCTGACGATTCCGATTGTCAGAAGACCATTGCCGCGTCAAGGAGCACCACGAGGAGAGTGACCTAAGGCTGCAGCCTCGCCATGTGACGCCTTTATGGAATTCATATCCGGAATTGACAGGTATCGGACTAACTCCACGATTGACGTTCAGCCGAGGGCAGTAGACACTTTAGCAGAAAAAGGGACCAAATGACACTTTTTTCAGACACGTATATACGCATTTCTTCAGGTTTTGCATGCTGAATACACGTAAACAACCCAAACCCGTAAAGTTTGTGCACGTTTGAACACGTGTTGTTTGGCCCTTTTCCCCAGTGAGATCAGCGGAGGAAAAACCGGGGAGCCTAGTTGGAGGGCATGGTCCGGCGATGCTGAATCTGAGAAGCTCTTTCGACCAGGGGAATGACGTCAGCGATGATCTGAGTAATGGGCAGGACGATGAAGTTTCCAGCACAGCGTTTGATGGTTTTGCTTGTTTGAAACTGTAAAAATACCGGGGTGGGGCCCCTTCGAGGATCCTCGAGCTCAGCTCCGGAGCTGACCGGGGAATTGGGCATGGAGGCAGTTTCTGTGAGCACACAGGAGAATGGGCAAGGAGCATTTCAGGAGCTGATCGTCAGCAATGACAACAGTGATTTGGGCCTGTAGTTCTCTGCTCAGTTCCCACAAATTGTACTTTTCCCAATTTGACCACAGAAGTTGCATTTTCATTTCCAGCTCTGTGTCAAATTTAACTTGCACTGGATTGCTCTCAGAAGATTGAGATATGTACCAGAAAGGAATTGACAACTCACCGCGAAACAAGAGAGTTTGATAGATTCAACTGGAAAGGATGGGGCCGTACAGTTATCGCGACCGAGTCTTGCCGGTGACGGCGTCCGCTGCGCTGTTCCGTCGATTGACAGATGCGCTCCAAGGGCCGGAAGGGGATGCCCGAACTTCGCGATCTCCATTGCCGCAGAGATGCGTCCTAAACAGCCTGCGTTTCCACGCCGGTTGCGTCGACAGGCTGGAAGGTATTTGACACCCCGCACGGCACGGATAGAGGCTGCTGAATGACGTCACTATCGTCCGCACCGTAACGTCACGGCCACTGTACAGCATGCCCTGTGCTCGAACATTCCTGAGCCCTCTTTCAAAATGGAATTACTTTGTCTTTTCAATACAAATCGTTGCCAAACTCGTTTGCTCAAGAAAGAGGCGGGTGGGGTCCATGCTTGACTTCATGCACATGATCCCAGAGGCGTCGGGCCGTGGTTGCTCTGTACTCCACAACTCGGCGTCCGTGCGCCGTTCATGCCGGCCTGTTGTTTGCCGCTGCTGAAGTCATGCCGGCGATTTATGTATACAATACGTGTTGGAGTGTGTGGACAAATGATGCACACGCCTTTGCCACTTAGTAATAACAACGCCCCAGTAAGTGTGTGTAAGTGTGCTGTTTGTTTCCCAAGGCTAGCTGCCGTTGACGCCTTGGCCATGTTCATGGCGACATTTTTCATCAACGGAACAGCCAGCCCACGTATTTGCAGCTTCATGCTGCATCAATACGGAGGGCGTCCTTGAAGCGCAGACACTGCTGTTGGTTTTCAAACCCTTCCGAAAAGTAACATAACTCTTGGCCTTTTTTACGGAGACAGCAACAAAATAGATAACGCTCTTTCAACAAACTCTGTGCGGACCCACGTGAAAACAGGAAAAAAAACAACGCTCTGAAGAACACATGCAGAGCAGAAAACGTAGCGGTAAAGTTTTTCATGCGGAAGCGCTGAATGTACTACAGTATATTGGTGCCGAGACCTGTGATGCAGGAACCGAGACCAAGAGCGAAATGGGAGCGGGGACCGGAACAGGGATGGCCGCTCGACCCGGCACTGGTGTAAGGAGCCACCTGGTGGCAGAACCGAAAGCCAAGACGAAGAAAGCGCAGCCACGCAGTGATGACGAACTCACTGGGTCGGAAATACAATCAGCTTTTTGACTTTGGGCGAGAATGGGGGTGGCTTCGGGCGTCCCTGATGCGGACAGAGTGGGAGACAGCATGAACACCCTTTCATGACAAATTGGTAGAAGCAAGTACTTCTTCTCAAGTACTGTGACTTATACCGCTTTTCCCACAAAAATGGCTGATGGGCGATCGGGGAGCGTGGTTGTGCGTACAGGACAGGAAAGTGGGGATGCGCATTTGCCACTCGGAAGTTGTGCTCGCAAGATGGGCGGTACCGATCTTGGCACCGGTGCCAGTGTGGCAAATAGTAATAATACGGGTTAATAATATAATAATTTTAAATACAAATAGTAATTAGTTAATTAATACAAATAGTACGGGTTTAGTATTGATGGGCCGCGTGTTTGGCAGTGCTGATGGTGTCATTATTTCCAACGAAGTCAATAATTGGGTCGGTGTCCCCGCCCCAAAAAGAATCCCTCGGCAGGAAATTTTAAGCAAGTTTTCCATCGCTGCAGGTCAGCAGCACACAAAGTGCACAGTGCTGTTGAGCTGCATCCCATGGGGCATCGTTCACTTTGTGTGCTGTTGAAGTACTGCGCCCAATAGTTTGTGAAGATTGTGTCACTCGTCGATGGAGCCCACCGACGAATGGGGCCATTTTTGGCGACCTGTTTGGTCAGCATGAACTCGCTTTTGGGAAAAGCCGAATTTGGTTTTTGGAATGCCGTATTGGCATAGCTACCATTTGGCCCTAATGCTATCATGGAATGCATCCTGTACCTAAATAGAGACATCAACGAGCACGCCATGGCCTTCACCAAATAGCCCGCAGGGCATTGTCTCTTCCAAGGCAGTGCAGACAATGTGGGCGGAAAAAAGTGGAGATGGACGGATTGGATCCGACGATCAGGTTGGGCTCTTTCATCGAGTTGAGTATGATTTGCTACACCTCCACCAAAGCATGGTGGATAGAAATATAAATATACAATCACCTGCAATGCATCTCACGCATTCAATGTTATTGCGGTACTTCGAGCCGAATGGCAATCCTGTGCAGTACTTTACGAAATGCATCAACAAGTAGCACTGTGGCGTGTTGCACAGGAAGCCGGCCGTCAACACGTGTTTCCCAGCCTTCGCCGGTGCACCGTTGGTGATGTGATTCTTGACAAGCCGCCAAAAAAAGGTGCATACAGGAATAAGTGAAGATGGAAGGACTAGATCCGATCACATCGGTCAACGAAAGCTGTCGTTGGGTGATTGCCACATCCCATACAAGTTAAATGCAATATTTTTAACAAAATCGAAAAATCGGCTCTTTCAAATGTACCATTCCTGACCGCACACGATAACATGCATTGCAATAACTGAACGCAACCTGTGGGAACATGGGCACGCGACACTCTGACCATTCTCTTATGTGAATGCCAGAAGCACACACCGCGGTCCGCCAACCCAAACGGCGATGGAGCGGTTAGATGCTCACTACCCTCATCACCTTCCAAGGTCCAAAGCCCTGAACGCCTCAATCTACCTGCTACAAAACATTATGTTGCGAGCGCTGCGCAGTGCTCTGGAACAAAACAGGCCTGGGGTGGAATTCGTTACAAAACGCTCTTGTACTGCCGTGTTGGAGTTGGCCATTGGGGCAGCCGACAAATGCAACGCACTGAATCAAGCGAAGCCGTGAAGAAGCGACCTGTGCAAACGAGCGAGCGCTTGAAGAAAAGCGTGGGCAACTTCGGTTGCCGAGTTAGCCCGCTGAATCCTACATGGCCATGCTGGGCCTGCCACAAGTAAACAATCGGCGGTAAAATATGAACAAGAAATGAATAAAAATGAATAAGAATGAATAAAATGAATAAAATGAATAAAAATTGCACGATTTCGAACCGTGGCAAATCGTGCAAAACCGTGTCAAAACGTTTAAGTCATGCGCGCCCACTCAACCGTCACTACACGGTTTGGTCCCATGTTTATACGATACATACACGATTTGACACGATTTTTGCACGATTTTCAATCGTGTTACACAGTACGTGATTTTTAGAACCGTGCATTTTGGCCCGTTGTTTACCAGTGTGCATGTGGTGTGTGACCAAGGCTGCTGCAGGGGACCTTGAGCGAGAGCAGGCGTGGCGTGGCCACTTGGGTCGGCTGGATCGGCACACGGATGGACCCAATATGCTCCCCCACAATGACCAAGGGGCCGTTTTGGGGACTAGCTCCCCAGTGAGTTGAATTGCACCAATGCATACCACAACGTACTAAATACAATGATATGGCAGCACACCACTACAACCGTGTACACAGATTAAACATTAGTGATGCAGAATCCAGCAGCCAACACACGTTCACACCCGTTCAATACCCTCTCGAGCATGTGAGCACAGAGCACAGGTACTAGGTTCAGTGTACTGAGTAGGTACACAGCAGCAGTGCCGCCACACAAGTGAGCCAGTCAGGATTCGTGGAGCAGCTTGTGACCACACTTGCTGTAAGCTGCACAGTTCATTGCACATAATGCCCTTCCATTCACCAACAGCGATGAATGCAACCGAAAAGGATTGCAGTCTCACGTCCTTCGACCAGTCAGACCGCCATCCCAAACCCCTCCTCATCTGGACTCCAGGAAGCTTCCCAATTCTGATCACCTTCCCGTCAACCCAGTCATTTTGCACACCCACATGCACCCTACCTTCCCAACTCACTCAGGGGCACTGACACTCATCCTCCCTTCGGGTTCCTTCATTCCATCACCTCCTTCACACACCCATTGATGCAGTCCCTCCAACGACATCAAAACGTTGGTAACTTGGGGCACCTCCATAACCACACACTGGTATGCCGTCATCCACCCCATCTCTTCAACACAACCCCCATTTCTTCGCAAATGCCTTCCAGAAACATCTAGACGCATAAAGAAGTCCAGAAGTTTCCCTCGCTGGTGTCCTCAGACCCTTCCAGAAGCCCTCATACCTTCCAAATGATCGCAGAACTGCATGCAAACAGCATGGGTGCGCGGGGCCATTCGGCGCGGCCTTGCCTCAACGCCGCCCAGCGTTCTGGTGCCGGCGGATGATCGACATGATGAAGGCGGGCACATTCTGCACGGTGGCCAGGTTCTGCGCGGAGTTCAGGTCGTCCAGGACGCTGAGGATCTCGTAGTCAGACAGGCGCTTCAGCGCCTCGGCCACGCCCTGGTACAAGTCGGTCGATGAATTAGCAAGTCATTCAATCAGTGAGCGGGTCAGTGAAACATTCATTCATTCAAGAGTGTTGTGTATCCAAGGCAGGGAGGTAGCCATCAGCTCCCTCTTTTGCTCGGGAAAAGCAGTGTCCATGATTCATCCGCTGAAATCCAAGGGATTGCACAAATGAAATACAGAATCTACCGATTACTGGTATGCTAAAAGTGAATCAGCGTCTAAGTGGGTCTGTCGCCTGACTGCTCAATCAGCCACCAAGCTTTTAATTGTGAAAGCAGCAACATGAAACTCGTGGCACTTGGTCACAGTCATCTTGTACCATTCCAGACATCGACCTCAATCTGCCTATCTGACCCTGAGCTTGAGGGACACTGTCTGTTCCACTGCTGTTCCTGCCCCTCAGAATCTCAAGGACGCTCACTAATTGGACCTTGTACTGCGAATCTACTATAGCTTGTGTCCAGCACTGACCATTCTGACATTGGTGCTTCCAATGGGTGATTGTCAACCATGGACACTTGGACTCAGGAACTGTCGCATGGCTCTGTTGAATATGGTTGGGAACCACTGCAGAACCTTGAAATTTCTTGATTCATCCAAACAATGATGCAACAGCTACTTCCTTGCTTTCGCAGCAACACAGTTCAGATAGCTTCTTGTGTGCCTGTGAAAATTGTGTGTCTCTGTATGGGAATCCAAAAGCAAACCCTCACACCCCAACCCCACCCCACCCCACCCCACCCCACCCAGCAACACAGGAGTGCAGATAACTTCCTGTGTGCCTCTGAAAATGGCGTGTCTCTGTATCGTAATCCAAAAGCAAACCCTTCCCCCCCCCCAAGCCCCACCCCAAACCCACCCCAAACCCACCCCAAACCCACCCCAAACCCACCCCACAACCCTCACCGATGCACATACGCAAGCCATCATTGCCTCCGCACACACAAGGGTTTTGCTTGCCAAACGTTTTTACAATCACAACAAACAGATTTCACATACACTTGCCCAAATTCCTGTGAGATGTGTGCCGTTTTCAACGCCCTCAGCGATTTCTGCAACATCAGTGCGGTAAAGAGGCAAACGTTCTTCCAGCTCAACAGCGGGCCATGACAGCTTTTCCTCCTGTCCAAAATGACCATCCTCAAGAATACAGCCTGGGCCACACCAGTTGCCATACATCCAAACACTACCACAACAATGCGGGGCTCCATCATGCTCTTTCCGTTACAATTCCAGATCACCACTACTTGTGTATATTTGCACACAATCTTTGGACTAAATGTGTTCATTTGTGCCGCACGATCTATGTCTGTTCACATCACCTGCGCTCACAATCCACACATCCCCATGCCTTATCACCGCTGCTTGTTTACGTTAGGGTTATGTTTCGACTATTTGACTATTTGTGTTTGCTTTGTGTTCGTGCCCCACAATCTGCATCTACTCAGATCGCCTGTGCTCACAATCGTTCTTACCTGGTCGAAGTCCGTCTGCTTAATGTAGCTTTGGTGTGTGTACACCACGTCGTCGATCTTCTGGCGGATGTCAGGGCTGAGGGACGACAGGTCGCCGGCCACGCCTCGGGGCGACTGCCGAACGACGCGGGTCTGCCCCGTTGGCGGGTAGGCACCAGGGCCGGCGGCGGCCGCTGAGCGAGGGCCCTGAGGCAGGAACTTGCGGGCAACAGACTGCAAGGGATGGGGGCATGAGGGCGCAGTTAAAGTACAGACACACCAAAGGTGCAGAAAAAGTGAGCAGGTAGAGTGCATGTGTGCAGCTGCAAAACAGCCAAATGGAGAAGGACCAGAAGCTGAATGTTTGCTAATGTTTGGACAAAAGCAATGAGAGCTATGGCATGAGGTGCAACTGGGAATGCCACATGAATTGCATGCAGGGCGACAGGCTCTCGCCACTACGACTGGAGTAATGACAGCAACTGCAAACAAGCTGGAGCACCTTCCGCAAAACTCCAATGGCTTTGTGTGCTTTTTTTGGAACTCGAATGTACTACATGCTGATCTAAGCAAGGAGCTCCCCTGCAAATCGTAAAGCACAACGGGATCCTTTTCCAGCAGGGGCCGACGTAGGGTCCCAAACAATGAGATAGAAAGAAAGTATCGGTGTTCGCTTAGCATTCGGTATCCATGCAGGGAGTCCTAATCAGAGGGAAAATGTCAGCAGGTTTTGTGTGCTTCAGCTTGACTTAAGCACTGTTCAGCAGTCTGGACTCCACATGGCAATGCCTTAAAAGAGGCTGTCACTGAGACTAGTTGGGTCTTGTGAGTTGATGTTCAAAAATGTGTTCCAGAGATGGCCCATGCATTTCCATGTTGCTACTCCATGGTTAGCCAAGAAACATTGTCATTATCAACAACATTCCAGGATTGTGGTTTTGATGCCAAAACGCCACTTTCAAATGTGAAGCGACATCACAAAATCCACCAGAGCATTCGAAGATGACCAATCGTCAGAAGCAAATAGCCACACAGAACTCATGCAGCAAGAACACAATGTGTTGCAATAGAAGGCACATTCTGCAATACATGTATGGAACATACTCAGTGCTTGGATCAAAAGAATGAAAAGAGCACAATGCCCCAGCTTCTATCTGACAATGTGAACTTCGTTTCTTCCCATGTATTCCTTTGCCTATCCATCTGCACTTGATGCAGGCAGGCCGCACGAATGACAATCCCAGGAACCCAATGGTGGAACATTCCAGCAGCAAGCGATGTGGATGCCAAAAAGGATCGCTTGCTGCACGGCAGCCACATGGCACTGTTTTGTATTGCCTCCAACAAACCAAGCCAGACTGCAAACAGGCCAAGCTGGCCAGACACCTCTTCTTTTTCTTACAATTGTGTCGGTGACACCAGACTCTTCAGGGAAAACAAGGCACTAGCATCTTTCTGTGCTGATGACCACTTCCCAGTGCACAATGCATTCAAGACCTTGACAGGGAGGTTGTGGGTGTTTCATAGCTCAGCATCGTGCGGTCTTTGTAACCCAGTGGAAATAATGATGCAGCCTGAGACCCTAAACTCAGTTGGTAGGCATGTCCTGACAACTGGTGGTTTGTTGTGTTGCCCGCAATGGACTCTTTCATCACATGTTTTTCTTGACGCACAACTGCTCATTGTCCAATCAGTGCTACGCGGTTTCTGCTGGCAGGCAGGCTCCATAGCACTCAGGGTCGCCTAAACCCCGAATCAAAGCACCAAGGATACTAATACTTTCAGCAAGGAGACTGCAGCGACAGCGTGAATTGCCTTTACAAAATTGCGAAGTACGTCAACAGACAATACCCCACCCCACCCAAACTGAAACAAACATTCACATAATGTCTTCCTCACCATGAAGAAGGCGTTGACATTCCTCAAGTTGTTGGGGCCCTGCAGCTTGTTGGCCACGTCCTCGATCACGGCCAGCGCCTCGGGCGCCTTCAGCTGCGCAAGGGCATCCCAGGCGCCATCGTCCAGGACAGACACCAGCCGCACGCCCTCGTCCCACAGCGTCTGCAGCTTGAGGGAGGGCGCTGGGTGCACGTAGGTGGCGTGGGGGGACAGCTTGTGGAACTCGTCCACGCGGACGCCCATCTGCAGCTGCTCCATGCCGTAGTTGTGCCTGTCAGCGAAGAAGGTTCTGGAACACTCAGGGAGCCAATGATGTCATGATGCAAATAATGTAGCATATGCATGCCTGAAAGTTGATCATTTGCCAAATATCTATTGCCCATATCCTTTGCATCTGTCCATCTACTGCCCAATAATTATCCATCATCAATCAATTGTCTGGTTGAAACAATTCTGTACTGCTGTGGATTGCCGCTGGAACGGACATCAGCATGTGTTGGATGCACCGATGCTTAGCTTGTAGGGCTGGCTGCTGTCCACTGACACAAGAGTTGTTTGGTGGCCAGAGACAAATTGAAATAAAATTAAAAACAGTACTCAACAAATAGGTACATGAGGATGCCCACATGGTTGTAGTCACCCTGAAGGGGCAATGACAGCTGTCGGCCATGTTTTGTCCAGCGGAGACAAGGAATGGCAAGCATGAACACATGCAAGGGGCAACTGACAGAAGCCATCGAAGTGTACATACAAAATTGACACAAAGTGCTGGACAGAGTGCTGTGAAGCAGGGGAGGTGGACCCAGAAATTGATTTTGTGTATGTTGCACAAATTGAAATTTGCTGTGAGAAGGCAGCAAGGCACTCTGCATTCCCCTCAACTCTGCACACAATAGCAATATCACCGGATGATCACACAGAAGATGAGATGCATATAGGTGGGGATCCAACTTGCTTCGAAACAAATATCTCAGAAAGTGCATGAAGACGATGCTGGTCTTCCCAATCGATCAACGATTCAATTGTGAAGAAAGGCTGATCTGCTGGACTCCATCTGCACAAAGTGCCATACCACTCCCCTTGGACAGTCCATGCAAGATAGAAGGGGGAAATGAATTTGCCAGCTACCTTGAGCAGTGCTGAATCGACAGCTAGTTACTGACATAAGGGTTTACTTGTCCAATATGAACAAATTTTGAGAGATGGCCAAATTTGTGATTTATGGTGTTGTGCACATTGACCTGATTTTCTACATTATGTCGCATTTTTGCCCAAACAACAGATTGTTGCCCTGGCAAACACCCCGAGCTACAGTGGGCATCATATTCACTGGTCAACGATCGTCCTTGTGTGAACCTTCCTGACGACCCACTCTCTCTAACCTGGCCTGGTGGGTATATTTGCATCACGGTTCACAATGCCAAAAAGCATCGTCGCGTGAAACAGGCCACTGCTCAGTACAGCCTGACGTTATGGTAAGGCATTATTTCCCACTGCTCAAGCAGGCATGAAATCACAGAAGAAGTGAATTGTTTTCAACAGCCCAAAAGGGCCCAAGCATGCTGTAGGCTGGCCACATTTTCCAACAGCCAAAAAGGGGTGCCATCCCTCCACAAGCAAGGATTTTGGCAGCCTGTCAAGGGGCACCCTGCCTGTCGCTCTCGGGGGCTCCCATGTACTGTCCCGGCATCCCCGGCATCGGCGCCAGCCCCGGCGTCATGACCACCTGCGGGTCCATCGGGTTGAAGGGCATGGTGCTGGGCATCTGTCCCGGCATGGCCATGGGGTACTGCGGCACCTGGCCAGGCATCTGAAACTGCCCCTGCACAGAGTCCACCATCCCCATCCTGTTCATCCCCACAGGCGGCGGCATCTGTGCGGGGGGGGCCATCATGTGCGGCATACCCCCCTGGGGTGGTGCTCCGGCACCCCCACGGTCGAAATCGCTCTCCAGCCGCCGCAGGATCGACACAAACAGTGCAGAGAAGTTGCGAACGTCCGACAGGTCCCTGCGTGAGAACTCGTTGAGGGCCTCAAGCGCCATGGGCACCGGCAGCCGCGCCAGCTGCGACAGGCACTGCCTGTCCAGGTCTGACGGCCTGCACACCCCTTCTTCAAACATCATCTGCAGCCGGGCAGACACCTCAACCGGCAGATTTGGGCCTGCACCATTTTGGCCCGTGGGAGATCTGCGTGGCCAGTCTGGGTCTGCCTTCTTGATGCGCTGCATGACGCCGATGAGGTAGGCGCTCTTCTTGCGCACCTTGGACAGGTCGCACTTGCAGAACTGGTCCAGGGCCTCCAGCGCCTGCTCGGAGTCGAACTCGGACAGCTTGGCCAGGGCGCGGTCGTCGATCTCAGCTTCCTCCACCTGTGAACGTGGAAATCCGATCTGCTCGAAACGCCAAGATCTGCGAGTGCAACAGCTTGGCAACAGACTCGTGTGCAGCATGTTGGCAGCAGACTGGCGTGTAACGGATTGGCATCCGTCCAAGACACGGCAAAACGCGGCCCAGCCATTCAGTTGGGACAAAGCCCGCGCGCTGCCAGCGGCGCAGGTTCAGTCATCCATGCCCTCCGGCCGGGTAGCTGCGACACAATCGCGGCCGACAAAAACTTGCCAAAGATCCCGACCCTAAGAGGGCGCGCCCAGTTCACCCCAGCACGAACGACAATCTCGAAACGACCACCCGGTCCCAAACTCTAAAAACAAACAACAACAAAGACTCAAAACAAGTTGACAAGGATCTGCCCGGTCCGCAAATTCGGGCCTCGTCGGTGCTCCTCGCCATGTATCGACTCCGGCCGCCGGAGGGCCCGTCCCGTTCGGCCCCGCCGTCCCCGCGCTGCGATTTCGGCGCCGCAGCCGCGCACGGCGCGCGCGGCTCCCTGCCTGCCGGTGCCGATCCTCCTTCCTCCCAGCGAGATTACCTTCACCGCCGGCAGCCGCCCGGACGCCCCTGGCCTCCAGCCGGCGCGTCACGCCCCCGCCTCCGGCTCTGTCCATCTCAGATCGGATTCATCCTAACTGCCGCAAGTCCAGAGCCCCTGGCCATGCCAAGCCCTCGCCCACTCCCCCCTGCCCCCCCCCGGGTCACCAATTTGGTGAAAGGGGGTTCCCTTGTTCAGGTTTCGACAAGGACCCTATCACTGGCACTGGAGCCACCCAGTAGGGTCTCCCTGTCCCAATTCTTTCCCAGCCGCCGTGCATTTCTTTCTTCTCCGCGGGCAAGGTCGATCTTCACCTGGACCGTTGCCCTACCCCACCCCTCCCCACGATCGCCTGCGGCCGTCGCGCATCTATCCTCCCCAAGGAGGGCCCGAGATGGCGAGCGTTCGGGCCAAGCGAGACAAGGCGTTGGAAGCACTGTCGGCCTCGGTCAACACTCACCAATCCTTCGTCGAACATCGCGCGCAACTTTACGCGAACCGCCGCGTCAAGCGCTTCCAAACCGTCTGCATCGCCACAGGACAACAGCCAGCCGGTTGGGCTCCGCCACACCTGTGCCTCAATCGACTCAGCCCCTTGATGCCGCTGAAGGGTTAAGAAATGGACGACCAGGAGCGCCAAAGGCAAGGCCGCCAGCCCAAGCCCAAGCCCACCAGTGGGGTTGGACCAGCACGGGCGGAGGCACAGACACTCCCCAGTGCCAGCGAACCCACGAGCAACAAGCAACAACAAGTCGCGGATCGCGGCGAGAGGACACAGAATTCAAGGCGGACAAAATTATGGGAGGGCAGCAGGGGGCCGCTCAAGAAGCGCCGGAGCGAGAGAGCGCCTGGGCAGCCGCGGAAAAGGAAAATCGGAGCGGCAGGAGAAAATTCCGAGCGGCAGAAAACAGAGAATCTGGGCGGGGCGAGGACGAACCGATCCGCGCATTCTTCGTGGAGCGCTGCGACGCTTCGTCGGGCTCTTCGCTCGCCGCCGTCAGCCCGGCGTCGTCCGCGGTGCGCTTCGCGGTCGCGTGCTGGGCCATAGGTGGGGCGGGGCGCCGATCGCGGAGCCGATCCGCGCGACTCGATTCGCTCCCTGGCGACGGCGGCGCGGGCGGCGGGCGGCGCGCGGTGGCTGCTCGCGCGGGGGAGAGGAGGGCTGGGCGGAGAAGAGAGGGGGAGCTGAGCGGTGGCTGTGGCTTTGGCGTGGCATCAACGGGAGGATAACAGGGGCCTGTGGCGTGGGGCGGAGCAGATGCCTTTTTTTTTTCGGGGATGCTGCGGATTAGTTTTTGTCCTTTTGTGCCTCTTGCCTCCTTTCGGTTTTCCTGAAGGCGAGTTTTTACGGATGCGCTGTGAGGGAGGCTTCAGTCCTTTCGCGTTTCATCGCAGGTGTGCTTCTTCCATTCCATTTCCTTCTGGCCAGCCAAGCTGACTTGATCGAATGTTGTGTGGCAATGTTTCGGGCACTGCCCAACACATTGAGGAGAGGCGATCAAGTGCAACTAATAACGTTGGACTTATAGGCGGCCTACGACACTGATTGACACGCAGGTTTATTGTGCAAACTAGAGACAATAGGAATTGACGATTATCTAGTGGGTTGGGTCCAGTCTTTCTTGAGTGAAAGGGTCGCATGTATTGAAGTGGGGGATCATATAAAGGAGCTTCGTACACATTGTGTATTACATAGTGTGGTGTCCCTCAGGGATCACCACTCTCGTCCACGCTGTTTTTAGTTTACATAAACGATTTACTATGCAGCCTCAACACTTTGAGACACCTTGGTGCTCAGGTATTCACTGACGACTTGGCTCTATGGAGATATGGCGCTTTGCACTCTGGAACAATTCACCCCACTTTGAGGCATGCCTTGTGGAGAGCGGAAAAATGGTCTAACATGTGGCGCATAGTATTCAACCCCAAGAAATGCGAGTGCATGACTTTTAGTGTAAAAAACATTGTGGTAGATAGCAATTCGTTGCCTTTTTGTATGGGGTGAAGCTGCCTTACACCATGAACTCCGGTATCTTGGGATTTGGTTTGATGCGCACATGACATGGAATCGCTATGTTCGCGAGGTTGTGACTGAAACACGGGCAAAACTTTGGGCATTGGCAAAAGGCATTGGGGTGGCATGGGGTTTGCACCCACGGCTATTTCTATGATTGATGCAGGGAGTTGTCCTCCCATCTTTGTTTTATGGGGCTCCCATTTAGGCAACAGTTTTGGGCGTGGAGTGTTGTTTGGACGAAATTGATAGAACTTTGGCACACGCATCTAGATTGGCTTTCAGTTTTGAGTGGTTCACGTTCACTGAAGCATCTCTTGCACTGGCTGGCATCTGTGACGTGGCTGCTTGGGGGTTAGGCTTATTTGACATTTCTGGAGTGGAAATTACGTAATCTTGTAAATCGACCTTTTGGGGACGTTATTAAGAGCTTCCTGGTTCCAATGCGCTTTTAAACGCCCAAATCCGTTAAGAATTGACGAAGATATGGCCTCCTGAAGTTGTAGTACTTAGGGCCAGGGGGTCGGGTGTTAGACGCTTGGAATTAGAGGACAATGGGTCGATCGTAGGTGAACGGTGGATGGTGACTGAGTGCCTGGACGCGCACATGAGTTGTCTTGTCTTGATGTGACAGCGATGGACCCGTGATCGGGCATCGCGCATGCGATATGTGCGCGCGCATGCTGTGAATCCGTGTAACCGTTCTGGCCCACTCTCTGGCCTCCCGCGAGCCAGCGAACCACCGCATCGCTGCGCCGCCACCTCTCGCCGACAGCAGGCCCCGGGGATCGATCCCCGTCGAGCATTGGGCCCACCGCGCGACCGCCGATTCGACTGCCCTGGATACGCCCACCGTCCGAGGTGGAGAGAGCCGGCTGACCTCCAACAGCCGAGCCGCAGGGCAGGGCGACCCCCACGCCTCCAGAAACCAGCGGCCGCCGACGGGGCCGCAACAGCATCGGTCTAGCCAATTTGCACATCATGAGATATCTTGTGAGATATTAGTACAGGAATCACAGAGCTGCACTGAGCACTCCACCTTCCACTGTCTACCAGTCTTATGTCACTCTGGAAGAGATGGGAGGAGCTTGGTTTCGACGCACTTTCCTGAGTCGCCATTCAGTGGACATCACAAAGGCACAGCAATGTCAAGCTATGCATCACATCAATGAAGCTCTGATCGATGGCATGCTGCCGACTCTGGATATTCGTTGCACGCACTCCTTCCGGACACAGGACAACCATGGAGTCCTGAAGATGCTGCTCTTTGTCATCGATCAGATATGGTTTGGGTGGGCCGTTTTATGACCGGGCACTGCCACATTGGCAACTTCAAAATTCTGCAAGATGATGATGAGATGGTGAAATGCGTGTTGTGTGGGTAAGTCTATAATTGCACACATTTCTTTGCGAATGCGATCACGTGGAGAATTTGCGCTTGTTATGGCTAAACTCGGAAGGTATTGGTATGCAAAATTTGCAGGTTTGGTTTAGAATCACTGCGCGAGACTTGGAGCTTTTCTACAATTAGTGGGTGATAGAATTCGCTTCATGAAGGCTAGGGAACCCTCTAGCAAATAGCGTGCCCTTCTTTCACTTGGCATGTAGATAATTCTCTTTGTTTTGTGTGGGAGAGCTTTGGGAATCGTAGTCAGCTACGACCGCCATTAGAGGCGTGCTTTGCAATATGAGTGGGCCTGAACAAGCCCGTCATACACTGGATGGTACACTACATTGGTCGATGTTGTGACATCATGTCGATGCATCTATGTAAGGAAGAGACAAACAAACAAACAAACAAACAAACAGACAAACAAATTATACCAACAAAGGCTTTTTGGTGCCAAACATATTCATGATCTTTACAATCAAGGGGATCTGCAAAATCTGTGCCTGCGAAAATCTGTTCCACAGATTCTTTGCACACCTCAAGCTACTGACCACCAAGTTCTAGGGTCACGAAGTTTCGTTGGGGCCCCGCAACACCATCAGATCCAGCGTCCCAATGGCCAATAAACCACACATAAGGTAGCCTTCATACTACCAACTTTTTGCAGGTTGCCGTCATCTATGCAGTTTGGGACTGGCGGCAACATGCAAATGCCACCTATGCAGCGGTCAACCAATACGGTTGTGGCAAAGCACAAGCCAACCATATGAATCCTTTGGTGCCTCATCCCACTATAAGCATGGGACTCGCTTCATTCGCACCAATATTTGCAAACCATTGGCAGTGCGATCCTGATGGGCAACGCAATGATTTGTTCCACATTGGCCAAAAAGCGTGGTGTTGCTGCCGCATGTCAGGTGTTGTCGATATCACTCCTATTGCATGGCCCGCTGCATGCTTCAAACATGCTCCGCACAGCAGGACGCTTGAGCTAGAGGCGGCCACTCAAAGATGCCATCCGGTCCGTTAAGTCCGGTTCGTTAATTTTTATCAGCTGTCCTTTAAATTCCATTAAAGAAAAAGGGAGAAAAATTCAGAAAAAACAAAAAAATCTAAA